CTCCGACTCATAACCACACATACTCAATGTCACTATTTAGCCTTAATATGACCTTTTAATATAGCAAGAAAGAAAACCCAGCTCAGTCCAAACTCCATGGTGACTCGACTGTGTTCAGTCCTGATCACCGAGTTGGAGCACCTGGGAACCTGGGGCTGGGGCTTGTCTCCCAGAGCTGCAGGGTCAGGGCTGGGCTGCTTTACATCAGCAGAGGGAGGCCCTATTTGCATGTCCTCCTGCTACATAGCAGGCTCTGTGGTGGGAGCCTGTGAAGAGGGCATAGTCCAGAGCAGATGTGAATGCTCCAGGGGAGTTTGTTGGCAATAACTATATTTGTGACAATATATATTTTTTTTTTATTATATGACTGTAACTTTTATAAAAATTTATAATCCAACTTATGTTATTTTTGCACAGAAACACAAAATATTTGAGGCACTTATGAATGGTAATTATTTATATAGATGTGCAGTTGTAAATAAAATCATCAAAGGATTATACAGTGTTTCCAAGAGCTCATGTATGGTCAGAGGGAGCCTCAGTGTCTGGGCCTTTTCTCCCCACCACGGATCCAACCCCAGGACAGAGCTGCGTCTGCCTGGTGACATTTGCCTAGTTAGGTTCTCCTTCCTGTAATCACACTTTGTGATTTGCTGTGTTCTGTCTTTTATTCACATCATACTTAGAGAACCAGAGTTCATGCAGATACAATTTAAAGGATCTCTTAAATTATATGTTTCAGTATTTCTCTATCTCTCTTTCTCTATTGACACCTGCTTTTACTTGTAACCATCATAAGGAGCTATAATAGACAGAACACACTGCACCTATTTAAAGTGTGCACTTGATGAGTGCTGACATACATGTGCACCTGCACAGTCACCACCACAGTGGAAATAGTGCACAAATATTTCATCCCGAAGCATTTCCTGCTGTCCTTCTGATTTCTTCGTCCCATTCCTCCTTCCTCTCACCCTATGTCCAGGCAACTCGTGAACTTCTTTATGTTACTTCACAGTATTTTTTTCTCATCTAGAATTTAAGTAAATGGAATATGCAGTCTGTGCTTGTGATTCCTTGTTATACTTCATTCTGATCTTTGTTCAAAATGTGTGAATCAGACACTCGTGACTTTTAATACCGAGTAGTAATCCCAATGTATGAAAATGCCTCTTTTATTCAGTTTACTTGCTGATGGGAATTTGGATCATGTTCACATTCTGGATATTATAAAGTAAGCTGCTCTTAGATTACAAATGTAGAGATGGAGTAAAAGTGTTTTTACTTATTGTTTCAACAAACACAATAACAATAGCAAGCCCACTGGATAAGTGACAAATTAGCACATTTTCTTAAACAAATCAAAGAGTAAAGTTAAGAACACAAACAGCAAACCTGAAATCAGGACAGAGTAGTTTGCAGGGAAAAGCAGGATCAAATCTTAGCTCACCTGGTTCAGAGATCACTAGGTGGCAAACACACTAGAACAAAGATGAAATTAGAAATAATTCATGAATTTCCAAATGTCCAGTGTGCTAGAGCATCAGAGTGTGAATCTGCCAGGATGCACATATCTGCAGGGACCCTAACTTCTTTCTGGCTTATCCAGGTTGGGGAGAATCACTCAGCTCCTGCCTCCTGGGCTGGTGCTCAAGGGGGAGAGGAGCAGCACCCTGCGTAATGCTCCAGCACCTCCCCCAGATCCTCCACACGACAAGTTATCAATGTGCACGGGAGGCAGCCAAGCCAATATTTATGCTTTACATTTTGAGAAACTGCTGAACAGTTTTTCGAGGTGGATATACAATTTTATGTTGTCACCAGCATTTTATGAACAAACATATTTCTCTACATCCTCATCAATATCTCTTATTATTCCTCACTTTTATCATATTCATATGACGTGGCACAAAACAGAAACTTAAAACATAAAAGAACCCGCATACAGAGCACTGCATGTTATTAATTCCACTTATGAAAATTATCCAGAATATGCAGGCATGGAGACAGAAATTAGGTTAGTGGTCACTGGACTGGGATAAGGAGGGGGAAGGGAGGACTGGAATGTGACACTGAAGAGACGTGTTCATTTTGGGATACTGAAATAATCTAATATTAAATTTTGTTGGTGGTTGCACAAATTTGGTTAATTATTTTGTGAGTAACGTATACTGAAGTCTTCTAAACTGTACACTTTTATAGGTAGATTTTATCATAAGTAAGGTATGTTTCAATAAGTTTAAGATTCTATCCATCATTTTCAAATTTTAATACAGTTATACAATTTTATACCCTTTATAACCCCCATGAAACATACTTTTGTGAAATAAACAGCAAACGTATTGTGATGTCAGTAATTTAAAGGATATGAGAGCATGAGAAACTGTGTGGTATTTTGATAAAGTCCCGTTTGCTTATTTTCTCTTTTGTTATTTGTGCTTTCTGGCTCATGTTCATAGAGTCTGTTCACACACCTAGTTCCTGAATTGTTTCGCCTATATTTTGCCTTTGTGATATTTAAGTTTCAGGTCGCATAATTGTCTTTAATCCACTGTGAGTTGAATTTAGTACACGGTGTGAGGTAAATACCTAGTGTCACCCTTCTGCTTATGGACATCCAGTTTTCCCTGCATCACTTGTTGAGAGGAAGTCTCATCCCCAATGTAGATTTTGTTGCCTTTGTCCAATATCAGATGGCTGTGAGCCTGAGGGGTGATTTCTGTATTTTTTGTCAATTCTGCTCCACTGGCCTGAGTGTCTATAGTCAGTCATAATAGTGTCTACAGTCAGTAATAATATATTTCAAAATAGCAAGGAGAGTAAGTATCAAATGTCTTCCCAAAAAATTTCTAATTTGATGTGATGGATATATTGACCAGCTTGACCTTGAACTCTACACAAATATTCCTGTTGTCCAGAAGGCAAAACATCACTAAAGACAAAATGTCTCATTAGTTTAGGTATACTGTGTTTCCATTTGTATTGTCAGGGCAAGCACTCAGACCCTTCAAACCCATTGTACAAACTGGGTGACAAACACCTCACATGCCAGGCTGGGTCACCAGACACTTCACACACAGGTCCATGCTAGGGAATTGGGAAAGATCTTGGTACCATGGGTAGATAACATGAACTCCATCTTCAGCCACAGCAGCAGCAGCAGCTTACAGGTCCAGCAGCTTACAAGTCTGGTGGTGGTGGAGGTGGTGGTGGGAGCGGCCTTGAAGAGGGTCCCAGTGGCTCTGACAGCAACAGCTTCGATCAACACCCTCCAGCAGCAGTAGAGGCTTCCCTGTAGCCCCTGTGGGCACCCCAGGGGTGGAGGCAGCACCGTGGATCAGATCCACTCACCTTTTATACTTCAGTCCATAACCCAGGACACCTGGGTGCACATGCGCAATTACATAAGACAATAACCAAGGAACACCTGGGCACACGTGCATATTTACATCAAATGCTCAGCAATATTTTGAAAATCTGAGGGGTCCTGAATATTTTCCTATATTTTCCCAACAGATCTAATTATTCCACATTATATACATTTATCAAAACATCATTCTGTTCCCCATAAATGAATACAATTATGCTTTGTCATATAAGATGATATTAATAAAAGGTGAAGGAGATACAGCCTCTCTCAGACAACACAGTGGTAAAGGATCAAGGCATCCCTCAGAAATCCTGAATGAGCTGAGGACAGCTGCCTGCGCAGCTGCTATTTGACACCTTCAATGTGAAAAGTGGAAGTAAATAAGCAGCAACCAGAAGGAAACATAAACACAGCCCTTTTCTCCAGGTGTGACACAAGGAGTTCTGGGTTCAGGTCACACACATAAGAAGCTTGGACGTCATCGCCCCATCCAGACAACAATAAAAACATGTAACAAAATGAAAATTGGTGACAATTTTTATATCTGTAAAGAAGTGAAGTCACAGCATGAACTGTTGTCCCTGAATTTGAAGATGCAGCCAGGAAGACACAGAGAGTCACAGCTTGTCTGATTAGAAACTCATGAGCAGAAACCTCAGTGGGACCCAGGACTGGGGGAGATAAAGCAGAGCTGCAGCTGAAGACTCAGAGCTGGGAAATCTGAGAGTTGGGTGCAGCCCAGTGGAATGGTCTCAGGGATCCTCAAAACTTTAAACTCTACCTCAGAGGCCCAACCTTGTTCTCTTAGAAAATATCAGAGAAGAATCCTCCTGTTCACAGCAGAAAAAGGGAGGAAGCAGCCATTCTGAAATACAGCAGAGCATGACCTTCTCTATAAGAAGGCTTGGCCTTAGGAGAAGCGAGTTTAGCTGATTCTAATAGATTGCAGTTTTATCAGAGCATCATTGACCTGAGAGAAGAGAAAAAATGCGGGCCGGCCCGGTGGCGCACTGCTATAGTGCGTCGCTTGGGAGCACGGTGGCGCTCCCGCTGAGGGTTCGGATCCCACATACAGACCGGTTCCCGCTCACTGGCTGAGCGAGGTGCGGGTGCAGCACCGAGGTTTGCAATCCTGTTGCCGGTCCCGGTCCGGTACGGGTGTGACACTGAGGGTAGCGATCCGTTGCCGGACACGAAAAAAGACAAAAAGGAAAAAAAAAAAAAAGAAGAGAAAAAATGCATCCCCTCCACATCCCTCAAGAGAATTGCAGTCTCTCCTAAGGGAGGGTAAAGGGAGAAGCACTTGGGAAGGTCCCACCCAGGACACGGCTCACTAAAGGACAGAACTCATCCTAGGACTGTGCACTGCTTCCCTACCCCACACCTTACCCACATCCACAGGGATTCTGTATCATGACAGAGAAAAACTAAAACATAACATGCACCTTAGACATTATTTAAGAAGGCTCTATGAAAATGTATTCCACAGAGGAGACAAAAACAAGGACATCAGGGGACATTTTATGCAGTGTTTTCCTTTTCTTGTCATCCTGTGAGACTCTTGTGTCTGAGAGACCCAACCCAAAATTCAGCCCAGCAGGGCTCTGCTGGGTTTGTATCTCTGCGCTTGTCACCCAGAATCCTCCAAATGGAAATATATGAGCTGTGTGTGGCCCTCAGGCATCTGCTTCTCCATCCAGGACACTGAGGAATGGGAGGAGAGGGTGACAAATCCTGAACATCAATGTCCACAGTGTGGATGAGGATCCAGAGGCTAAACTGCCTCATTGAGGATAGAGACGCCATGGGCAGAGGTCCTGCAGGATGATAATAACCACGTGGGTGTAGCTGCACTTTATTCAGGGAAAAATGCTGATGTAGGGACAGGGTGCTCCTGGAGAGATGTAACGTTTGGGGAAAATAATAATATATCATAATGATTTGTGTGTCAAGAAAAAAACAGGTCAAGAAAAAACTCAAGGAAGAAAAGTCCCCAGTGAAAAGAACCTTCTTATCTGCACATGAGGAAAGTTACTTCATTCTGTGTTGCCTGCAGTGAGTCACAAAGAACAAATCAGGAAATGACCATGAGGGGCATCTGGGAGTCAGCAGAGCAGAGGAAACCTCAGATCCCAAGAGGAACCCCCCATCCCCTCTCTGCACCTGCTCCATGGGGCACAGGAGCTGGGTGGGCCTTGAGCGCCCCCTGCAGCCCAGTCCCCTCCTTCATCCTGCAGGGAGGTTTGTGTCTGGGCTCACGCTGACTTCTTGTCACTGTGTCTCTTGCACAGTAATACAAGCCTGTGTCCTCGGTGGTCACAGAGCTCAGCTGCAGGGAGAACTGGTTCTTGGACGTGTCTCTAGTGATGGAGGTGCGGCTCTTGAGGGACGGGTTATAAGCTGTATCGCCACTACTACTGATTGCTGCTATCCACTCCAGCCCCTTCTCTGAGAGCTGGCGGATCCAGTGCCAACTATAACCACTGGTTGTGATGGAGTCTCCAGAGACAGTGCAGGTGAGGGAGAGGGTCTGTGAGGGCTTCACCAGTCCTGGGCCTGACTCCTGCAGCTGCATCTCGGACAGGACACCTGGAGAGAAGGAGGATCAGAACCTGTCATTCACATGCAGTCACAAACATACCAGAATCCATGTGTGACATCTGAGACACTCACCTTGGGAAGCTGTCACCAGGCAAAGGAGAAGACCCCACAATCTCATCTTCTATTAGATCTCAACTCTGCCTTCCCCAGAGACCTGAGCCCTGTCTTAGGACAGACCTGTGAGCTTCCACCACCCATTAGTCTACATTTACCCTGGAGCTTGAAGGAAAATTTGCATGTGGGGGAGCTCTGTCCTTATAAGTGGTGAGGAACTGAGGTGGGAACGATTGTATTTTTTGAAATGCTTATATGTTGTTGTTTTTTTTTGTTGTTGTTGTTGAAATTATTTGACATGTATTTATGGTATGGGAGGGAACTTGGTGAGCTACATGGCATAATGTGGCCCCAGCTTTCTGAGTCCCGATCTACCTTCCTTCAACCCCTGTGTTCTGTGCTGACTTGGACCCAGCCCAACTCTCCCACATAAACTCAGGCTCTGTGTCTTGCTTCTACAGTTCTGATCCCAGCACATCCCCTGCTTTCTTTCCCTGGACCCTTTCCTGTGATGTGGTTCTCATCACACCTGAGAGCTTGACTCTTGTTATATTGTTATTGTTACATGAATTCCAGGTCTGCCTTGTGTTTTCCATCCTGCCGTACAAGACACAGCACATCAGAACCACAGAGACTCTGCAGTAAATAATGCCCAGTGCGTTACTGAGGACACTGATTCTCAATATCTGGGAAAGATAAAAATCTTAAATTCCTCCATTCCATGGTCATTCCTGTTCATCGAAAGTGTAGAAATGTTCAACTTAAATTCACTTCTCACCTGCATTTTATAGATTTTATTCCTTCATTTATTCCACCAATCTTATCAGGTATCAAAAAATAAAATCGATTACAATGGTTAACATGAAAGCAGTAATAACATCCTTATTGCTAAACTTTTAAAAACAAATTTTCCCTTGATGTGCACCTGTCTGTGGGCATGAGAGCCAGTCCATGTCTGTGGGCATCACTCTCTGGATGACTGAACACCACAGAGAAAGAGGCCAGGGGCTTGGCTGGATGCTGTGATTTGTCTGCCCCTGTCAGCTCCATGTCAATCCCAAGGACAGCTCCATGTCAAGGAGGGACAGCCCTTCAAGAGTCCTGAATGAATGACAAGAGAGGAGCTGCTGATGGGAAATTTGCAGATGATTCTTCAGGGCCTGTTGACTCACACACTGTGTTGGAGTTTTATCAAAATGTTAAAAGACCTGGTAAAAAGATGTCAATAAACAAAGACTCTGAAATGATAATTCAAGCATTAGAACTAGTATAAGATATGATACAGATTTTGGAATTATCAGAGAGGATATTTTAAAAACTCTGTGTATGTGCATCCATTTATACACTGTTTTTTGTTTTTCAAACCTCCAGCTGACTCTCAAGAGTTCTAGTTGCCCACCTCTGTTTGTCCAGGAGAACTTGTCAGGATGCTCTGCCTCATGGAGAAACAGCCAAGCATCTCAGTGGAATAAGGTAGAAGAAAAGATATCTACAGCTTGCTCATTTCTATTCTAATGTGCTCAGGAGGGAAGTTGTGGTGAGAAGAGGTGTCTGATTCATAACGTCACTCAGGAACCCAGACTCCACTGTTGTGAGGCCCGCAAATCTACACCTAGTGGACAGACACTTAACAGAAAACAGAAGGTGAGGGAATGAAGAATTTCAGGTGGAATGTTTTTTTAACTGCTGTAAAGACACTCAATTTGAGGTCTCCCTAGTAACACAATATAAGTGCTTGACACAGGATTGTTAACCACGAATGCAGTGTTGTAGGGCAGATCTCTAGACCTTGTTCAAACTGCATAACTGGAACTTTTTCTCTCTAGAACATTAAGTTAATTAGCCCAGCTGTGAGTGTGCATGTGATACCTGTGTACATTTCCTCTGGCATAATCTGTCATATGACCCTGACTTACAACAAAAGATAAAAAGTGTGTGTTATCTACTATTTAAGGATAAATGGGAACAACAGGTGTGTGTATGGACTGGAGCCTGACACACCAAGCCTGTGTCACCTCTGTCTATGTCTCTCTCTGTCTCTCTACACACACACACACACACAAAAAAAAAAAACTCACCATTCGTCTTTTGAAAATCTACCCAGATCTGTACATTTGATTGATGCTGAACAACTCCTTGTAATAGAATAAAATGTGAAACCTCACAGTCCTTTTCTGTAGTAAGTCACAGTGTGTAGGAAGAATCTCCCTTAGTACAAAGTGACAGGATGGCCCTGTGTGTTTGGAAAGTCAGTGCATCACAGCCTGTTTCTTTAAATCATAATTGTCCTGCAGGCCTCATGCACATGCTTGTTTCTAACTTGGAAAGAGTGTTGTGTTTAATGGAGAGATCTAGTGTAATAAAAATATTTTAAGATAATTATAGTATTGAAAATTAATTTAGTAAGACACACACAACACTGAAAAGAGAAAATATCTTCATGAAAAAAAAAATGGTCTTAGATGGGATGTCAGAAAAGTGGTAAAAGTACTAGCTGAGAAAATTGTAAATGTCCTTTAAATAAATCAAACAATATTAAAAACTATTATTATGTCATTAATACTAACAATTAATATTACTTGCGTTTTTAGTGAAACCCTAAGCAAAAAAGTAATGATAATAATAATAATAATAATAATAATAATAATAATAATAATAAACAATAATAGTAAATCACCAAACAACAATGTGATGAGAAACCAGCAGAATCATGAACTGAAGAAGTAATCTCTTACGTATGTGGAATCATTGATATAGAAGAAAGAGAGATAAAGAAAACTATCCAGATGAATAAAGAGACGAGATTTACAAATAGTCCTATTAGGCAGAGAAGAAAGGAGGCGTATGGATCATGAATAATGTTAGAGATAAATCACTAATACACCACACCTTCTGAAAATGTGCCTGTGATTGGATAAAGTTTAAGTAGACTGAAAGGTAAAAGAAAAGGCAAAATGGGGGCTTTCATTACAAAAACTGCATGCTGTTAGCAATATTTGCTGTGCAATGGTGTAAGCACATGAATACAAGATGCTTGGGAGTGCAGAGCCAGAAATCAACAATAAAAATACGTGCCAGAGCAATGCTGATATAAAAAATAAGATGTTATGACAAAGGCTTCATTTAAGTTCAATTATGCATGAAGATAACACTACAAACTGCACATTTTTGATACGTGGTAACAAACCAGTCACCATGTCATACTTTGTTCATGGTCTTCCTATCAGACTTTCTAACACAGGATAATGCAGTTCAACTTCAAATGTAACAGGGTCTTGAGGAAATTAGTACATGTTAACTAAAATACTCTGAATCACTTTAAATTTCCTCTTTAAACGCAAAAGTGAGTGTGACACTGGTTGATTTGCTATTTGCATATTATGTACTCAGCCCTTTGAAGTTCACATCTGATCTGTGTGATAATTTTGAGACCGTCACTGTATGTAAAGGAAAGCCACATGTAATCATTTTAAAAGGTTTCCATTAATAATCACGCCGAGTTGAAATATAGAAACACACTCTGCTGTCCTGTGACCAGGTTCCAAATTAGAAAACTGAGCTCATTTGCTAATGCGATTTAGTAATTTTCCCCTAAAAGTGTTTTCAGAGGACCATGTCTATCTCCATGGTCTGTTTCCAAACTTAAGGCTCTGATATTTGGCTGTATATGTGTCCTCTCGTCATTGAGTCACAAGGGATGAGGGTTCTGACCTCACTACTCAGCCCATTCCCTGACTGTTGTCTGACCCCAGCCTCCCATGGGCTTGTCCAAATCAGTGCTCTGCAGCTGGTGGCGCTGTCTGCATGTCCTCTGACACAAGGTGTGTGAGTTGTGAGAGGTGTCCAAGGGTCAGCAGCTGCTGTGTCCTCACAGATAATCTGTGGTTTCAAGAAAACTGCTTGCATTCCATAATTTGTCTTTCTGCTGTGTTGATTGTTTCTTTTGATGTGCAAAAGCTTTTGTAAATGATATAATCCCATTCGTATGTTTTTTCTTTTGTTCCTTGGGCTTTTTGGATCTTATTCACAAAATCTTTGCCTAGACATCTGACAAGGGATTAATATAGAGAATACGTAAGTTTCTCAAACACCTATAGAGTAAAACAAACAAACAAACAAACAAAAAACCAAATTGAAATATGTGCAATGGAGATGAGCAGACATTTTTCAAAAGTAAGATATTCAAATGGCTAACATATAAATGAAATAATGTTCAGCATCAGTAATCATCAGGAAAATGCAAATCAAAACCACATTGAGATGTCATCTCAACCCAGATAGACTGGCCATTATTAAAAGACCATGAATAACAAATGCTGGTGAGGATGTTGAGAATTTGGAAAACTCCTACTATGTTGGTAAGACTGTAAATTAGTAAAGCCAATATGGAGGTTTCTCAATCAACTACAGATACAAGTATCATATGATCCAGCAATCCTAGTACTGTACTTATATTGAAAGGAATGGAAATCTTCATGTCAAATGGACACCTGCAATCCCATGTTCATCAAAACTCTATTTCCAATAGTCAAAATATGGAGCCAACCTAAATGTCCATTGACACACTACTGGATAAGGAAAACGTGATGTACATACATAATGGAATACTACTCAGTCATAAAAAGAATGAAATTTTGCCATTTAAGGCAACATGGATGAGTCTGGAGCAAATTATGTTAAGCGAATAAGCCAACAAGGAAAAAGAAATAATGCATATTCTCACTCATAACTGCATGCTAAGAAAGAAAGAAAGAAAGAGAGAAAGAGAGAAAGAAAGAAAGAAAGAAAGAAAGAAAGAAAGAAAGAAAGAAAGAAAGAAAGAAAGGGAAAAAAAGAAAGAAAGACCTCAATAGTATGTTGAATGTTCAGAAGGAGGGAAAAAACCTAAGGTCACTAGAGATGGGGGGAAGGGAGGGAGTGTGGATGGGAATGACAAGGCAGGTAAAGGGCATAAAGAAAAATTGTGATTTGTAATAATGAGTACGCTAATAATAAAAACTAAAAACCAATAAATATAACTACTTGATGGATGCAGATGATTTCTAATTCATATTAGTAAGATAT